AAATATTCTCAGATTATGTAATCCGTATGAAACATGCATACAGGCGCATACTGCGGAGATGATGAGTCAGTGTCGCCGACTTCATCTCTTATACCGAAAACAGAAAGCACTAGTGTAACAATAAATTATTAAAACGTTAATGCAGTGTACTTGCTGTTTTTTTATTTGCCGGTGCACTGTGGCAAGCCTTTTTTACATGCGCTTGAGCGCCTATTAGGCTATGTAGGCAATTAAAGGCTCATTATAATGATTTATATGGTTTATTAATAAAAGTGCGACTAATAGTCGACTAATGCTTAAAAATTAACGACTACTAGTCGACCAGAAAAATCTTTAGTCGCGGGCAGCCCTAATGCATATTGACTAATTGTTTACGAGAAGCATACATATATAAGAAGCTGACAATTAGCTGAATATATAGCCTACTTGTTAATTAGTGTCATTTAGCCTGCATTTTAAAATCTTTCTTTGAATGTGGAAACATAATATTGAGCTCAACAATATTTCTATGAATAAATCTCTGACAGAGACTATCAGCCAATCACTGTGTGCATAGTAAGTATGCTGACATCATCCATAGCAACAAGGTCAACCCCGCCCCCTTACTCTTAGCTTAAGACTTCTGTCTATTCCTTAGTAAAAGTTTGTCTCAGCAGCTTTGTGAATAGGTTTTATGAGAAAACTCGTTTACTTAGAAAAAACTTTTACTGCTATTAAGGAGAACTCTTATTGGTAAGATAAAATGTTTTGTGAATACGGGCCCAGAACATTATATTAAAAATGGCACTGTTTACATTTGAAGATATTTAATGAAATGTTTCAACCTTACACCAGGGTGAAAGAATGGTTCAGCAATAAGCTAAATGATTCAGACAATCTGCAGGAGAACACAAAATATGAAGATTATGTATGTCTCACTGCTGGACTAGAGGACACGGACTGTAGACTGGAATATTTCAAGGTTGTGTTAACTCTCTTAAAACAAGACTTTTAAATGAGTCCTTATCACACAAATTGTGCTGCATGGATTTTTAGATTGAGACTACCAGTGTTGGGGAAAGTTACTTTTAAAATTTCTCTTGTAAATTAAAAAGTAATGCGTTACTTTACTAGTTACTTGGAAAAAAGTAATCTGATTACGTAACTCGCGTTACTTGTAATGCGTTACCCCCAACACTGAAGACTACAGATGTATTACCTCTTCTCTCTGAAGTCTGGAGAACTGTGGAGTAACAGAAGCAGGCTGTGTTGACTTGAGCAAAGCTCTGAGTTCAAACCCTTCTCATCTGAGAGTGCTGGACCTGAGCTGTAATGACATAGGAGACTGGAGTGAAACATCTCTGTGCTGCTCTGGTGAAAGTTCAGTGTGCATTGGAAACACTAAGGTGAGTTATAACACAAATAGCTTATACAGTTAATTATGAAATAAATTTGAAGTTAATAATGACTAAGGAGGCTTTTAAATGTATTTAACAGGTTAAATAACTGTAACATAACACACAAAAAGTTGTATAGCATTGGCTAAAATACTACAAACACCTCCAAACCTGAAAAAGCTCTCCAAGTGAGAATAAGCTCCATGCAGGACTCAGGTGTTATGCTCTTCTCTTTGGACTGCATCATCATCCTCACTGTAAACTGGAGACACCCAGGCAAGATGATTCTGAATATTTATGGTAGATTAAGCGTACAACAAAATTTGACCATTAAACTACTGTATATTGCTTCATAGTGGAGTTTTTTTTAAGGGCTACCTAATGTTCAAAGCCAAAGTAATAGGAACATAAATGTCATAGACACTGGAAACAAGCACAGGGGATTACTGTACTCTACTTGTCCAATATTTAGATCAGTGTTCAACAAATATGGTTTTAAATAGCAGATTGATTACTGAATTGAATACTAACTACAAGAGAAATACTGATAAAGACTAAAAGAAACTTACATGTGACCATGTCAGAAAGTTTCAACCATTATTTTTAAAGGCATAATTTTTTTTAGCACGATCCTCATGAAACTAAAAACAAACAAACAAACAAACACATAATTCATTACATGAAGGCTACCGCATGTAATTTCTGCCTTGCAAAACACGTAACACCTCTCTGTATCAAATATACTGGAATTTCTTGAGTTAAGAAAGTTTGGACTTTCTTTCAATAGACTTTCAGGTTGCAACATCAAACCAGAAGGCTTTGGATCTCTTACTTCAGCTCTGAGGTCAAACTCTCATCTGAGAGAACTGGACTTGGGTAACAACAGACCTGAAGATCAGGGAGAAGAGCTGCTGTCTGCTGTTCTTCATCATCCAAACTGTACACTGAAAACACTGAGGTTAATATGTAGAAACTTGTAAACATTGCATATTTGATGAAGTCAGTACAGTGTATATTATTATAAATTTCTGTCTCAGGTTGGACAAATGTGGAATCACAGAAAAGTTGCAGTGCTCTGGCTTCAGCTCTCAACTCAAAAGACCTCCAGTCTGACAGATCTGGATCTGAGCATTAATGATCTACAAGACTCAGGCATGAGGCAGCTCTGTGTTGGACTGCAAAGTCTACACTGTAAACTAAAGAAGCTCAGGTAAAAGTCTGGAAAACTATTACTTGTTACTCTGAAAAATAGGCAAAATTGGATCCAAAATCATTCAAATCTGATTAAGACACTGTTAAACTAAGAAGTAACTGCAAACCTGTGCTTATAAATCCATTTTGCTTTCTTCAGGTTGTCTAAATGTAAAATTACACATAATGAAGGTGTGGCGGCACTGACTGAAGCTCTGAAATCAAATCCATCCCACCTGAAAGAGCTTGATCTTCTTGAGAATGATCTGGAAGAGTCAAGACTTGAAAAACCTCTCTATGATATGGACAAGTCATCATAAAAGAAACAAAACTAACAGAAATGTTTAAGATAAATCTAGAAAACAACATTCAGTATTTTAAGCTATATGTATAAATCATTTTTTTTGTCAAACACTGTAAACCACACACAAACCATTTGTACATTTTTTTTTACATACATAGGCCACCATTAAAATACATAAGGTGCATAAATTGTGATATATTGTGAAAATTAAAGTACTCATTTACCATGTTTGTAACATGTCAGGTTGAGAACAAATTAGGACTATATAATGTATTGTATCTTCAAATAACTGAGCTTTTTTAATGCTTTTTGACCATAAGATACAACACTGGTCTTGGATGCCCAAAATAGCTACACAGAGACATTGCAAATATGACTGATGAGTGACTTCCTTAAAGGGACTCAAATATGGCTTAAAATAAATTTTGCAGCACAATAATAATGGCAAAATGCTATTGTGCACTTCATTGGTTCTTGTATGATATTTATCTTAGTGAAACACCAGGTTTGCAATTTACAGGTGAAAGACTACATTTTCAATTAATAACAACTTAAATTCAGTCTGTTCCACACACAAAACTATTGTATTGCAACACATGCGTTGTTTTCACTTCTTGTGGTACTTCCTTGAAGTCTGCAAGCCCAAATACTCTCCACCATTATTGCATGAAATATACAGCTTAGACATTCTGCTATATAATTCCTTTCATGTGCCACAGAAAAAAAAATTATACAGGTTTCCAAATGAAATGGGGGTTAGTAGATGATAACAGAATTCTCAGATTTTTTTGTGTGTAATATTAAGATTAAAGGCATATAGTAGTTTTTTTTTTGTATAGAAAACTGCTGAATGCTGGGCAAAAAAAATGAAAAATGTGTTGAGTGCAGAAGGGAATAAGGTCAGACTGTTTCAAACATATAAGCAGAAAACAATTCAAAATATAGGCCTACAACTGTGTACGTGAACATCAAGAATGCTACTTAACACTGAATATCCTTCAAAAATCTTATGTCACTAACGTAAAATCCAGAGATTCTGGTTCCAGACTGGTACTTTCTAAACAGGAACTTGTTATTTCCTTGGTGGTTGAGGAGATTCCCCCCTTTCATGTAAAGCGCTTTGAGTACCCAGAAAAGTACTATATAAATGTAACGAATTATTATTATTATTATTATTGTTAAAAGAGCTGTAAACCTTTTTTCACAGACAAAACCAGCCAATCAAATTAAAACTGAAAATTCAATATGCATGAGGCAGTTAGTGAACATACTGTGGGCGGTCTGTGACGTCTGGGGCAGAGACTAATCCATCAACTTCCTTGATGCCACAACTCGCTCACAACAGCACTGAGGAATAAACATCACCCTGCTGCAGGTAACCTGTGAGAAACAGAGATCTTCATTCTGGTAAGTACTAGTTCTGCACAGACCGAGAAAAGCATTTGATGAATCACATCAGACAAAAATAACCTGACACTATTAGAAGTTGTGCTTTGGGAAAAGGTTTTGCAGAATCTTTATGTAATGTTGTGCTAACTGTCAAATGTTTATACAAAATATATTTGTATTTGTTTTCATATACAGTATTTGTATACTTTCATTTTGATGTCATGTAATTAATGCTTTACAATATTTTTTAAAAGCAGTTGACCTTTTTTTACACTTTACTGCGTAACACTACTGTACCAAACCAGTAAAACCAGATCTTAAAGAGAGTTAGCATACTTAGTCATGTTTATCTTCCTCATTTGCAGCATGCCATGTTCAGAAGAACAAAAGGTTCTTTTTCCCCCGATTATTTTGGAAAAACAAATGTATAAAATAAAAAAACACTATGTCGACAATAAACGCAGAAGACAACAGGGATTCCTGCACATCTTTCAATGGACTGAACGAGTAAGACAAATATATTTTATTTTTATTTATATGTTCATCAAACCTATATTGCTAATTGAAACAATTACTTTCTGATATTTAAAGTCCATTACAACAGATTACATCCTCAACCAAGCGTGCATGATGGATTTATGTCAATATCAGTTCAGTTAAAAAAATGAAGATTTTTTAACTTATCAAGGACAAATTGTACTATTGTGCTATATATGCACTAACATTGCTGTGATTACATTTTGAACTGTAGTTTTAAATATAACTATCATTTTAATGTTGCATCTGACAGTTTTGATCAGGAGGGATCAGATTCACCTGCGACCAGTGTTTTGTCTTTAAAGAGTGACCGATCAATGCAAATGCCAATTCACTTAACAAATAAAACACATCTTCCACATCTAAGGTATTTTCTTTTACATAATTTTAAGCTTAATTAGCAAATAAATAAATAATTATAGGATTGCAATTACTGTAAACCATTATATAGCATGACATTATATTGTGTTTCCTCTCACAGTTTTGTGGAGAGATCAGACTCTTCTGGCCCTAGTGTTTTGTCCATGAAGAGCGACCGATCGATGCAAATGCCAATTCATTTGAAAAATGGATCAATGGAAAAAAGGTAATGATTGCACGTTTAAGATAAAGGTAGACAGAACAGTGGGTCATCAGGGTAGTAACACTACTACAAGGATTAAGATTGAAATTATTTTCTCATCCTCACCAATGGTTTGTTGCCAATCTGTACTAAAATTCCAGACTTCTTTTTTATTAAAATCTGTCAAATCGCTGTCAGTTTTCAGCAGGAGAGATCAGACTCATCTGCCCTAAGTGTTTTGTCTATGAAGAGTGACCGATCAATGCAAATGCCAATTCATCTGAAAAATGGATCAGCTCCAATGGGAAAACGGTAATGATAAAAACTCACATAAGCTAAAGGTAGTCAGTCAGAACTGAGCAGCTGTGATAGCAAACACATTCATAAGGAGGATGCAGGTTCTGATCACTTCCTCCCCTCAATGGTTTTTTGTTAACCTCCTCTGAAACACTATATTTTCTACTTATTATATATTCTACTTTCGCCGTCAGTCTTCAGCAGGAGAGATCAGACTCATCTGCCCCAAGTGTTTTGTCTATGAAGAGCGATCGATCAATGCAAATGCCAATTCATCTGAATGGATCACCTCCACTGACACTAAGGTAACAGTCTATTATAAGAACTCATTTATTTTGCTTCAACAAAGTGAATGGTAAATAGCGCACACAAAACTTTTTACAATTCTCAGACAAATGCAAAAGTCTTAATTCTCAGAGGTTTAACATTGTAGAGATTTGCAATAATGCATATTGCAAAATATTATTTTGTCTATAAGGGATTCACTAACGAAATCATGTCAGGACGCTGTGAAGACTGGCAGCTTTCTTGGAGAATTCATTCATCAGTAAGTTCAGTGCATCAAGATTCTTATTTATAGTGTCTGTATTTGTGCATATTTTCTGACACTGACAAACCTATTTTCAACAGACGTGATTCAGAAAACCCTGATGCCAAAATTCATAGATTAAAATCAGAAACAAAAAAGAAGCATCTGTACATTTTTGAAGGACTTGCAAAGCAGGGAAACTTAACACTCCTGAATGAGATCTACATAGAGCTCTACATCACAGAGGGAGGGAATGGAGAGATCAGTAATGAACATGAAATTAAAAGGATAGAAAAAACATTGAAGACTGCAGCAGGAGCAACAATACCAATCAAATGCAATGAAATCTTTAGAGCTTTACCTGGACAAGGCAAACCCATCAGAACTGTGCTGACAAAAGGAGTCGCTGGCATTGGAAAAACAGTCTCTGTGCAGAAGTTCATCCTGGACTGGGCTGAAGGGAAAGAGAATCAGGACGTCCAGCTCATATTTCCACTTCCTTTCAGAGAGCTCAATCTGATGAAGGACAAAAAACTCAGTCTTTCAGATCTTCTTTACATCTTTTTTCCTGATACCAAAGAAATGGAAATCTCCAGTGACAAATATAAAGTGTTGTTCATCTTTGATGGTCTGGATGAGTGTCGTCTG